CCTTCTTTTGTTTTGGACGCCTGATTGGCCCAGCTGGACTTAATTTGGTAATAGAAATGGGACCCAGTTCTGGGTTCCCCTTCTTTTGTTCTGGGAGCCAGAAATTGGCCCAACTGGGCTTAATTTGATGATTGAAATGGGACCCAGTTCTAAGTCGCACTTAATTTGGTAATAGAAATGGGACCCAGCTCTGGGTTCCCCTTCTTTTGTTCTGGGAGCCAGAAATTGGCCCAACTGGGCTTAATTTGGTGATTGAAATGGGACCCAGTTCTAAGTCGCCCTTCTTTTGTTTTGCACGTTGGAAATTTGGCCCAGCTTTGGACTTTGAGACTCAAATTGCATTGCAGGTTTTAAAAAGTTTTCTAGTTCGTACAGTGTGGAAAACGGCATTAGCTTTCTATCCCAATTAATTACAGCACAGGAAGTTCTTCACTTTAATTTTTCTTCCTTTCTAGAGTAATAATGCTCACCAAGTTGTAAATCTAGCATAAACACAATTTTATGTTACTTAAATATTTCTTTGTTTTCTATCTACCCATTTATTGTTTGAGGCTTTAACTTTTAAAGAATGATCATTTTGTGAGAAACCCAAATAGAAAAATGATGGTTAATTGAATAAATATCAAAATAAAAATAAAAAAAGTGCTTTAACTTTTATAATAGTTTTAAAATAGAGGAAAAAGCACTTTTTATAAGTTATTTTAGAAATGGAAGACTGAATTAAAAAAAAAAAACCGGTGGACACAAGTTTCAATAGAAAGAAATTTTCTTTTTCTTTTTTTTTTTGCTCAATTTGAAAGGAGTACAGATGAAAATATATATAAAATAATACAAAATACAACGTTTTACGCTTTATATATTTGTATTTATACTCCTTCCAAACTGAACCTTTGCAAAAACTTATGTCCACATTTCCTGATTGTGAGCAGAAATTTATAAACATGCATCTGTATCAGTGATTTTCCATAATAATAACCACAACCACCAAACGTATCAATCATCATCACCATCATCGTGAGCTGGAGACAAGTACGGAGAATTAATCATCTGATCTACCATAAATAAGATTTAATAAACAACTTTGACCCATTCTTTCAGGTATTAAAGGCTTAAAGCTGTATTAGACGAGACCTTCTGACTTTCTCCTCCTGGTCTTTGACAAAGCAAATGCAAACAACCTGCAATTGCCCATTCCCTGGGGCCTGGGGTGGTTGTGGCACCGCCACTCCTTTGTCGGAGGAATGGGTTTTATTGTGTAGAAGTCATGTTGGCAAGGAGAATCTACATAATTGATACCTTGGCGCATTTTGATTGCCAGCAACAGATTGGCTTATAGCTTGGGTTCAATGAATAATTCCTCAATTGATGACACCCCACTTCAACACACTATTGTCTCAACAAACCTATGATAATTGATGGTAGCCCATTAATAACACCCACAGAAAAAGCTTGTGGGTTATGCTTCATTGATGGTTTTTCGGTATAGAAACATGCTTCATGGTAATAGTAATCAGTGTTGTAAAAAGCACTGTAGGCTGTAAATGTTGCACATCGAGGTTTTGAATGATTGAGATAGTACTCCAAGATTTACAGTCTGAAGTTTACAATGATCCTACAACTCTGTTTGGATATTCTCATTTGCACTGGTTTAAGTGCATAGGAGTGCAAATGAACTGAGGATGGTTTTTGAACCACTGTTGATTCGGACGGTTGGATCATTCAGTTTGGGAACCATCTAGGCAATCGGTTCTGTTTTACTCCAAACCCAGTTCCTGATCAAAAATCATTGAATCAGTTAACGATTCGTTGATCTGGATGATCGTCCTGTCAATCCGTTCAATGGTTTTTGGTCGTTTTTTTTTTGTCAAAATGGGCCATCCAATCGAACCATCGACCCAAAAACCGATAACCAGAGCGGTTTTATTTCCGGGTCATTTTTAAAACCATGAAACTGAGTGTAAATCGCGGTTTACTTTTGCCTTCAGATTTTACATTATTTTGTTTGTAAGGGAACAAATACAACTCAAGTATTCAAAATTCATAGCATCTCAGTGCTTTTCTAGTAATGTATCGCCAAATAAGTTTATATATCATATAATTGCTTTCTGTATATTATACTTTTTTAAGGGAACAAACACTTTCTACCATGACAGTAGAGGTGTATTTAGATTGAAAGAAAATGTAGTCAAAGGAAGGGAAAAGTGAAAATAGGCTAAGGTTTGAAGGAAAAGTTGAAAATAGGTTAAAGAGATAAAAATAAATAAAATTTTGACAAGGTAAAACAGTATTAAGTGCATATAAATGAGGATGTTTTTAAGGGAATTTGATAAAATACCTAATTCTGTAGTTTTGTAGTCAAAAGAAATACAAGTCATTAGGTAAATCCAAGAGTCCTAATAAGTAAGGACAATATGCCCTATATCAGACGTATCATATGGTTAAATAGTATTAAAAAGGTCTTCCTATTAAACTTTGAAAAAAAAATCTAAAAAAACAATACATGAGGTTTGTAAGTAATAATACATCCCTTCCAATGTATCGACTCTATCGATATTTTGAACCTTGCCAATACCTTGTTAATAATAAGTATTTGATCAGAACTCTAAGTAATTTATCTATAGTAGTTTTTCTTTCTTGGGAAAGCAAGGAATTTGATGGTATGGGGTTAAGGCTTAGAATGGCACAACAGCTCATTGGCGTAATGGGGCTACTGAATGTTTGTAGTTGACACTGGCGAACCTTGAGCTGTCTGGGGCCTCTGGGCAAGCGTAGGTTCATGCCTGGCCAGTTCACCCAGCTTGTCCAAGCCGTGATCTTGAATTGAGTGCCTCAAGATAGTCCTAATGGCCCCTCCCAAGAAAAAAATGAAGAGAGAGAGAGAGAGAGCGCTATTATTCTATTAAGGTTGATCTTCTTCAAGTTTGTAATTACATGAAAACACGCAAGTATTTTTAATCAATAAGCAAAATAAATAGAGTAAATTAATTTATAATTCAATACCGTTACCTGTTGATGAAAAATCATTTTGATTTAATTCAGTTGTTAGAAAACAACTCAGTGGTAAAGACAAGATTAACAAATCGTATCAAGAAATTTTAAGATGGGACCTACGAATTGAAAACTTCAGATCAGCATTGAATGACATGGGCAGTAACGTATGGAGGCTAGGTCATACTTCTTATATAATAATCTACCATCATAGTGTCATCATGTTCATTTCTATGGAGGATGTAAAGGAACAATAATGCATGGACAATGCAAACTACCATTTATTAAACTTAATTACCCTTGCCTCAGTAATTGTTATCAAGGTTTAAATCATCACCCAACTTTTTGTTAGGATGCATATGTCAGTGGATATGTCCCACATTAGAAAAGGATAAAAGAGACAAGCGGCATAAAAAATTACTATCCAACTCTTGTACATTAAAAACTAATAATCAACCTAATGGTAATACCTCACGCTTGTAGATTAAAAATACCATCCAACCCTTATAAGTCCAGCACTTGGCTTTGATGATTTTGGTGACCATGTGTAAAGGGGACAACTGCATTTTAAAATATAACTTAAAAGGGACCTGTGGGATGTAGGGTCTAGTGTCAAAAAAATTGTCCATGTTAATTAAAGAGACACCGGATCTCCTACCCACGAGAACTTTACCCGTACCTACCCACAAAAACACTATTTTCATGTATTAGGAACATCTCTCCATGTGTGGCCGGGCCACGATCTCATGTGTGGGAAATCCAGACTCGCTTGAACAGCCTCATACCTGATTTTCTCCATGTGTGGCCGGGCTGTGATCTCATGTGGGTAGGCGCTTGAACAGTCTCATACCTGATTTTATAATATAGTACAAATATAGCATGTAAAATATAATTAAACATGATTTTATTCATGTTTATACACATCAGGTGACATTTGATACTTCTTATTAATTGTTTAATATATATGAATGTCATTTAGTACTATTTTGACTATACAATAGTAGGGCTGTTGACAAATAAGTTCAAACCGACCAACCCACCCAACCCAATTTGGCCGGTTTTTCTTCACCACCGGTCAGTTACAGGTTAAAAAGATAGGTAAACCGGTAATTCGGTTTAGTTTCAGTTTTTACACATGAAAACCAAAACTGAACTGAGTTATCTATAAATATATTCTCACTGAAATATTATATATAATATATATATTTCAGTTTTAAATATATATATATATACACTTCTTGGTTTTAAATATATATATTTCTGAAATCCATATTTCAGCTTTAAATATATTTCCAGAAAATATGTTCTGAAATATTATATATAATATATATATTTCAGTTTTAAATATATATATATATACACTTCTTGGTTTTAAATATATATATTTCTGAAATCCATATTTCAGCTTTAAATATATTTCCAGAAAATATGTTCTGAAATATTATATATAATATATATTTCCAAAATATATATATAAAGCTGAAAATATATATTTTAGAAATGTATATATTTAAACCAAAACCGACCTAAACCAACCAGGTCGGTTTTGCTTAATGGAAGATCAGTTTCAATTTAATCTTTAAGTAACCCGACCAGGTTGGGTCGGTTAAAAAAATCTAATAAACCGATCCAACCCGACCCATGAACAGCCCTACACAATAGTATATGGGTTCGGTTTTTGGGGTTTGACCGTATGAGATAAATAGCATAACGTGTGTGCAACAAATCCAAAGGCCACCTTTTGGATTTTACTTTGATTTTGAAAATCATGCTTTCGAAGCTCGTTTAGCCAAACAGATTTCACATGAAACAGGATGTTGCATACTTTTGAAAACATAAAAGTAGAAATCTATCCAAACAGCGCTAAGTCTTCAAGGTTTCAACTTTTCGGCAGCATATCAAGTTATTTTGTCCATTGAAGAGGTTGTACATGTCTAACTAGCATCATGGTTTGCTACAATGCTACCTAAAACAACCGAAATTGTAAAGGTTGCAACTTGCAACTAACCCCGTCAGATCAAATACGCAATCTAATTGAATTTCATATTAATTCCTCCCGCGTTACTATAGAATGAAAAATGCCTAACAAAACAGACAAATTACACATAATTGAAGCTTCAGCTTTGCATCAAAACCATATATATATATATATATATATATATATATATATATTTAAAAATCTGATCTCCTTACAAGGTGCTAATAGAATTTTCTTTTCTTTCTCCTGAACATTCCCAAAAGATGATCTTACAATATATCAATCTCAACATCAGCAGTCATCTTGACAAGGCGAGCCTTGCTAGAGAAGTTGCCCTTAGTAATATGCTTTCCGAGGATTATTCTGCAACAGAGGTAAGTAAATAAATAAACGAGCAAACTAGGGAAAATTACAGACAACGGTGTGTTTTATTTGTTATGCCAGGTAGAGGGAGGGGATCTAAGTGTATGATCACCATATCTTATCTTTAAACATCCCCTGCCATCGCAAAAATTATTGTCCTGCTAATACAAAAAAACACAGGGAAAAAGAACCCTCGCTACCCCTTCTTTAGTAGTTTGGTGAGGCTGTTTATTTTTTGGGTAAATTACAGAGACCCCCCGTACTATGGGGTCTGTGACAAAGACCCCCCTGTACTTTGTTTTGCGATAAAGACCCCTCTGTACTATGACCGTGAGACAAAGACCCCCTTCCGTTAGTCTTCCGTCTAAAAAGGCCATTACAATATTTTTTAATCCCCATACTACCCTTGTAATAACTATTTGGACAAAAAACACTGTTCATCTTCCCCGACCTCACGATACACTAACAGCAGCGGCAGACCGGCTATAGTCCCCTCTACCTCAGATTCCTTCACATTTCTATCTCTCTCCCCCAGATCTCTCTTCTTCCCATTCCCCTTAACAGCCTCGGGATTGAACTCATTTAATTTAATCCTGCTCCATTTCACTTACGGTATTCCGATCCGTAAGTGATCGATTCAGATCGATTGAGAGAGAGAGAGGTGTTTCGCTATTTGAGTTAATTTTGAAGTGATCTTCAAATACCTCAAGCCCCAGCTCGTGATTCAAAAGTCGAAACGATGTTTTCTGAAAACAGTGCAGTCTCATCCAAAACAATTTTATCCACGGCTGCCTCTCTGGCTGCGTCGGTGATGCTCGTCCGTTCGATAGTCTACGACTTCTTATCCCACGAAACTCAAGACTACATCTTCTTACCCCTCTGCTACTCCTTTCCAAGCACTGCTTCATTATTTTATATTTCAAATACCAATGGATCGAGCCCAGGAATTAGATTCCCTCTCCCTAGAAATTTTACAGTTTAACTGGAGAGAGAGAGAGAGAGAGAGAGAGAGAGAGAGACGGAGAAAGAGAGAATAGTTTTGTAAGGCTGCTGAAGAGAAGGGTTCTCTCTTTTATCCTTATGCCTGAACTGGAAGAAAGTTGCAGGTAGATACTGTAATATTTTGGTTTGTCTGATGATGGATCTTTTATGATGTATTCTTGTTTATCATCTTTGCTTCTGCATTATGGGGATCAAGTAGAGAAACCATTGGTCATTTCTTTCTTCCTTGAAACTAGATTTCCGCGAACTTGTGACCTTCATCCTTATGTCAACTTGAGTCTTTGAGATGTGGATGTAGAGGAAGAGTATCGGGTTGGTCATTGGTGTATGCCCCATTTGGAAAATGTGCTTTGTTTTTGTTTCTCCACTCGGATCTTCTTCCGTGGCTGAAAAAGTTTTTGGCTTTGAACTTTTGAATCTGAGAGGCCCACAAGCTATCTGCAGTTCCAACTAAGCCTCTGACCATCAGGACATCAAATTCCTGCAGCAGCCAATCAAGTAGTAAGAAATCTCTCCCTGTATCTCCTTTCGATTTGCTTTCACCATACATAAAGAGCTCAATTGAATCACCCATCCCCATTGAATTTCCATCCCTCATCTCCCCACCATCATCAGCATTCGTTTCAGCTTTACAATCACCTTACATATTTCCAAGGGCCTTGCTTCCACCACCCCCAGAAAACGCGACTCCATCTAATACGCCAGAAAACCCAACTCCAGCAACACATCCATCTCCTCCAGTTTCTTACTGTGGCTCTGTATCTGATGACATCCCAAGCTCTTCCTACACCCCTCCACTAGAAAGATTGGATTTCTGTGATGACCCATCTGACCAAAAGCTTAAATTTGTGACCTGTGCTCCGGTTCCTGATACTGCACCTCCCCGAATCTCATTTACCTTTCGTCCCTCGGATTTCCTTTGCGAAAACCTCAGTTTCTAACTCTCCTAATGCAAAACTCAGGAGCTGTGATGTTTATATAGGCTTCCATGGCCAGAATACCAATTTGATACGCTTATGTAAGGTGGCTTAAATCAGAGCATGAGCTCCAGGGAATAGCTTGTTTTGTTACAGACAGCTAAATATTCAAATACCCTAAGCCATGAGATTGCTGATAGAATTATTTGCTCAGCCACTTATAGTGTTGTGGTTGTCACGAGTTCAAGCTTTCTCAATCATCTCTCTCAATCGATCTGAATCGATCACTTACAGATCGGAATACCGTAAGTGAAACGGAGCAGGATTAAATTAAATGGGTTCAATCCCGACGCTGTTAAGGGGAAGGGGAAGAAGAGAGATTGGGGGAGAGAGAGAGAGAGAGAGAGAGAAAGAAGAGAGAGGGAGAGAGAGAGAGAAATGTGAAGGAATCTGAGGTAGAGGGGATTGCCACCGGTCTGCCACTGCTGTTAGTGTATCGTGAGGTCGGGGAAGATGAACAGTGTTTTTCTTGTCCAAATAGTTATTACAAGGGTAGTATGGGGATTAAAAAATATTGTAACAGCCTTTTTAGAGGGAAGGCTAACGGAAGGAAGTCTTTGTCTCACGGTCATAGTACAGGGGGGTCTTTGTCACAGACCCCATAATACAGGGGGGGTCTTTGTAAGTCATAAATCCACAGAGGATGCACACCTGGCATCGTTTTCTTTGATGGATGGGGAACTCCGGTTGTTTGCATCTATAGTTTTTAGTTTCATTTTCTACCTTAATGGTACAGCAATCCATTATGGACGAAAAATTGGCATTTGGATGGTGATGATACTTGGTTGGCATAATTTTTCAGGGGTGAAAAACTTGAGCAAACACAGGTTCGATTAACTAGCTAGGAAGTGAACATTGTAAAAAATCTACTATCAGTTATCTCCCCAACAAGCTAAAATAATCAGAGATTGAGAAAAGGATGAACAGAAATTATGGCAAAGCAAAGGTAAACCTTACCAGAGGGTTAGGCCTGTAGCGGTAACCAAGCATCATCCTCTTCTTGTACTGCTCATAAATGTCATCATCAGGGGTTACCTCACCAGGTTGTGACGCTCCAACCCCCAAGTTGTTCAATTTCACATTACCTGCCATGATTGGATCTGCAATACCATTTTTGGAACTCCCCAGACCCTCACCTACAGTTAACACATTCAAGTCAACGACAGAAGCACCAGATGAGCCCATAGGCCCCATACATCATAACCTAATAGCATCCCTTAATATTATAAACTAAATCAAAGGGTTGAAAACATGACTACAGTTAGATTCTTTACAATATGATTACATAAATAGCACCATTGTCGTCAGAGCACTATTTATAGCATGCTCACATCTCAAGATGTATTCTGTTGTAGCAGGTTACTTGCCTTCTTGGATTTGTCTCTAGGAAAACTGATTGAATCTCAAGAAAAATTGTCCTTGGGAGATCACATTAACCTAAAAGAGAGTGAGACTCTTCCCCATCTTTGTGTGCATCAGCCTTTTCTTGTAAAGAATCTTATGTTTGCTCCAACAAATTGTTAAAAAAGTTGAAAGAACAAACAAACTTCCTCAACACTAGCAGGGTGAAAGCATGCATGCACATCTGAATGAGGGCATATTTGGTAACATTTTTTTATCAGAGAAGGAGGCTATTTGGTAGCATTCCATCTGAATGTTGCCAATTGCCACTCGGATTTATGTTCATGTCCACTTTATACAAAGTTATGAACTAAAAATAGTACAATACTAATCTTTAGCACTTGCATAATTGGGCCAAGTCTGAAAGATGATTACTCGGTTAACCGCTGGCCTTTTTTTGTAACCAAACCAGTACTACCAGTTTTTGGGAAACTGGTAACCGAAACCAAACCAAAGCCAATCGGTTAACCGTCGGTCCAATTTGTCAGTTTTTTTAATTTTTATAATATATATAATAAAATTTTATAAATATATATATAATATTATATTTTAAATAATAAATAATGCATATTTATTAATTTATAATTTATAATATACATAAATATATATAATATATAGAAATATATGTATACCAGCCGGTTCAGTTAACCACCGGTTTTCTATATTGGTTAGCTTAAACTGAACCAGTACCTTCGTTTTTTTAAAAACACCGAACCAAAACCAAACTGGCCGGTGGTCGGTTTGGTTTTTCGGGTTTTTTTTTTGTGCTCACCCCTAGTAGGACCAATATCAATCATTTTAAGTGATCCATCAGAGTCGGTGTTGCACAGACTCACACACTACATTAGGAGTCAGACTCATGTCCTGGTGTCTACATGGCAAGCTTGGAAAATAAGGATTCGCAGGCACGTTTTCTTCACATTGATGTTAATAGAGGTCCTAAACACAAGTGTGTCACCGCATGTAGAGAAGGTTGATCCTCTAGTTTTTCTTCTCTTCTATTAGTAAGATGTCAGTTTCTTTAATTTAATCCGTCTTCAAGCTTTAAGTAATGTTCTTCGACCCTTCAACTTTTATTGAGTTTCTACAAAAAACCAACTAGAACTTTTTTCTCTAGAAATCATCCAACATAGAAATCCTCTCCCTATGCCATCCATCCTCAATCTGTAAAGTTTGACATTTTGATGAGTTGACTCTCTAATAAATAAGTAATTCCATTGACTTATCTGGATAACAAGACAGACCTGGGATTTAAGAAATCTAGAGGGAGTCAACTTGGAATAAATGTCTACTTGCACGTTAAATACCTAATAGAGGTGTCCTACTAAGACTAACCTGAGTCGATATATAAAATAGCAGAATCAACAACTATTATAAGCTTTGCATTCCTTAACTTGAATGAAAAGAGGTGTATAAATATTTCTGGCGAGGATTCACAGCAGGGAAAGCAACCATGAAGAATACCTTCTTTCCACCCCATTTTGGACAAAAGCTTATGCCCTACATTGTCAGCTTGGATTTTAGCCTTTTCCGCAGCCTCTCTAGCAGCTCTTCGTGCAGCAGCATCATTGCAGCTAGACAAGAACTTTTCCAGCTCTTCTGGTGGTATGTAATCACCCATGTGATGGCCTCTTTTAACTGGACCTGCCATAATAAACAAGAAAATACCTCAGAGGCAAAGGCTTTGTAGAAAAAAAATAACAGAAGACATTATAATCAAAGAAAATTAGCAAAGCATGTAAATAAGCTTAAGCTAGAATGATTACCATAACCTAGCAGCAAACCAGTCATGCTCTTTTCCAATAATAATATAACAAAATATAACAATCAAAAATACAACACAAAAACTTCTAAATAAAAATATATAGCCGATCTAGACCTTGAAGAGAAGCAGGTGGAGGCATCTCATCTTTTGATTGCTTAGGTTGCTTTCTCCGCTCTTCCTGTGCAGCCCTCTTCATGTAGAATTCCATCATTGTTATAGAATCCGCAGCTGATGAGGCACTGGATTCCCCTGCAAGTAAAAACCAAATGTAATATTGGCATTGAAAGAATCCATTGAAAGAATGATTACCATAACCTAGCAGCAAACCAGTCATGCTCTTTTCCAATAATAATATAACAATAAAAAATACAACACAAAAAGTTCTAAATAAAAATGTATAGCCGATCTAGACCTTGAAGAGAAGCAGGTGGAGGCATCTCATCTTTTGATTGCTTAGGTTGCTTTCTCCGCTCTTCCTGTGCAGCCTTCTTCATGTAGAATTCCATCATTGCTATAGAATCCGCAGCTGATGGGGCACTGGATTCCCCTGCAAGTAAAATCCAAATGTAATATTGGCATTGAAAGAATCCATTTTATGTCACAAACCCTACTAGGGTCCATGGATAGAACCCCACAGCGAAATCTGGGACCAAGGACTGAGAATTCCTAGAGTGGGAGAAACATCTGTTTAACTAGGGCCAACCACACTATCCATCTTCTAGTGCAGCTAGGGGGCAAACTAGATCTCTATCTATATAATACAGCAGAATGGTTAAAACAGATGAAATACAAAAACCACCACAAGTTTAAAATACAACCCACCACTGCTGTCAACCACCTGAAAGAGATGCAATTAGGAAACTGGAGAACCTACCAGATGCAACATCCCTCAAGCAAAGTACAGTGTATTCAAAGACAATGTTCAAATGATGCATGACCACAGAAAAAAATGAGATACAATGATGTTCTGTAAACTCAATGTTCTAAAAGCAAGAGTGCAACTAAAGACAAGCCATTCCTAAAGCCTGAGGTGCAAGGCAAAGCATAGGCCTGAATGAAGCAAGGTGCCACTTTTGAAAATGAACAACTTAAATACAAAAAACATGCAAACCAAAATTGTATAAGAAATAAGACATTCCAATAAGTCTATTAACTAATTGCTGTGCTTGTGTTATTAATATGAAGGTTGTAATATTCTAGGTTCAAGTCCTACATGCTAAACTGTTTAAACTCTAAGCATCACTGTTATATACTACAATATGGCAAACTATGCATTCAACATAAAATTCAAAGTTGAGTAATCCATCAAAAAAATAGCAACAAGCAAGGTCAGACAACTTGGATTCAGAGGAAACACACCCCATAAAATGAGCCTCCCCTGTGAACCTAAGTGTGCCTGAGGCATACCTTTTAAAACACTATATATAGCCAACTGTCGACAGGACATATGGAAACTCTAAGAGAATAAATTGGCAAACTCATTAAGTTCTAAGAAATGAATGCCGCGTACCATAAGAGGTTCTTCCTGCTGAAGCTGACTGAATTGGTGTTGCAGGCGATCGTGTATCCTCATTGGATTCATATAAAGCTGATGCTGGAATTTGATAATTAGAGTGTTGCTGGTGTGGCCTTTGAGAACTTGAAGCTCTAGGAACTGAGGTGCTTGTACTGCCTGAATCTAAAAAGAAATCAAATCTAACAACATAGTAAAGATGCCAAAACTCGAATAAAAAAACATCTATAATGTTGTAGCAAAACTGAAATAATAAATGAAAAACATTAAGACTAGATGCCACCGCCTCTTGGCATCATCATATGCCATGCTTGGGGAAGGATCCAGGAAAGCAGGTATTTTATCAATAAAGCGTATGCCCTTGTACATGGGAATATACCTTAGTCTCACCAACAATGACCATTTCAAGATTCCACTTTTTTGACAGACTACTGAATATACTACCAAATTACCATTAATAAAACCCATATAAGCACAGATTGTTTAAACCCTATATTATATACATACATTTGAATACACATAAAGCTAATTAGTTTGAATCCTTATCATTTCAGATAACTGAACCTGGTTCCAACAATTATTATCAGTCCTAAAAAGTTGGACCCAAAATAACCATTTAGAATCGATGCTTTAGCCAAACAAGGGGTGGGGAGAGATCAATTTTTTTGGACACAGTTGTAAGGAAAAAAAAATAAGCTTTTTGGAGGAGAGATAAGAGGATTTATTTCTCTTTGACTGTGTTCTCAAATTGTACTTACTGATTGCATTTCTCCATCAATGAAATTCACAGCTAGTGATCCCACCCCCAAAAAATAAAAATAAAAAATAAAAACCATTTAGAACTAGCCAAATAGGATCTATTGCAGACCCATGTAATAGAGTTGTATTGAATTGGGTCTGCCAGGAAAACCCTTCCATTGACAATCCTACCAAGTATATTTCAAGTTTCAAAATAAGCATTTTGGAGAAAGCATTTCAACAAAGCTAGAGGTCTTGAGCATATAGCATTTGCTTCCTCACATAGAATTGTGGATATAGTACAGCTAAGTTATAATTCTTCCCCATTTAAAATTGTTTTCCACTGAGGCAGCTCTACATTACAACCTCAATATCAATGCACATTGTCATTAAAAGGAAACAACTTGGCATAATGAAAAAATAAAGAGAATAGGGTTTAAAGTACCAACCACTGCATAATGGTTGTGAGTCCCCAGTCTGTGCAAGAGCTTTTTCCTCCTCCATAAGCCGAAACTCATAATACTTGTAATCCGAACAGCTACTATCAAACAGAAACCTGCAAAAGACATGATATATCAAATAAATAAACAACATAAGAGTTATTATCAAGCAAAAATACAAAAGGAACTAATAATGAAACAAATAACTGTTATTTTGCAACAGTCATCGAGATTAAAGATCTAGTAACATACTTAAAAGGTGTATCTCCAGGATTTCTTTGACGTGTAATGTGCTCAAACTGCCTTCCATTTTTTGCCACAAAACTTGCTAATTTGTCGGCAACTTTCTTCACAGCAGGATCGCTCGGGGAAGGTGGTGCTGCATGTCACTTAAAGAACTGATTAATACCGAGAGCATGAACAAGGGAATGCAAATTACTCTTGTAGCAGCCGTGCCACATTTTCCAAATCTTTCATTCAACATCCCTTTCCACCATGGTCGATAGAGACTTAAAACATAAGCTGCATTCATGAGACAAGAAACTTTCAAGAATGTCTAGTTCCTATCTTCCCCAGGCTTAGAGAAAGCATGAAACCAAGATGAATTGAAGAGGATCCGAATCGCCAGCATGGAAAGATATTCCCATAGCAATGAAATGGATAAGAGAAAACAAGCTTGCGGTAAAAAAGTTTACCATAAATCACTAGAATTCCTTTGCATATGCATGCAATTAGCCTATGGTCACATCACCAAGATGAATTGAAGAGGATCTGAATCGCCAGCATGGAAAGATATTCCCATAGCAATGAAATAGATAAGAGAAAACAAGCTTGTGGTAAAAAAGTTTACCATAAATCACTAGAGTTCCTTTGCATATGCACGCAATTAGCCTATGGTCACATAGCTCAGCTATCAGGATTCTAGCCTCTAGGTTCAATTCAGACATAGGCATATCAGAGAAGAAGAAAACATGTGAAATTCACCCAAAATAAGAAGCATACTTTTACAGCCATGTTGCTCATTACTAGCAAAGGGGAAAAAAAGACCTAGCCACTACTTAACTATAAACTATCTAATTTTCAGGCATATGGTCTATATTGCATCACCACTGCAAAGATAGAGAACAATGGAAAGAAGCTTAGAATCAAAGGGTTTCAGGATGAGTCAAATCAAGACAGAATATATCTTTGGTGTTCTCCCCTGCTTTGTACATCCTCTCATGTACTCCCTTTTTATTTTAATGAAATCTGGTTAAAGTTTTCTCAAAAAAAAAATCAAGACAGAATAGATGTATTGCAATTTTGGTAGAAATATTAACGAGAATACTTTCAGTATTTTGAATCAAACATCCATAATGAAGGAGAAATCAAATAGGATTTTGTCCACGGAACTAGAGAAGGGTGGTTGAGGTTTAGAGATGCATCCAGTGTGCTGTGTGACTAGCATATATCAACGAGGCTGAAATGAAAATTCTATAAGACCAGTATTGCTACATGGGGTAAAGTGTTGGCAATCAAGAAACATGTTAAAAAAAATAAGTGTAGCTAAAATGAGAAAATTGAATGGAAGAATAGAAAGACTATAATGGTAAGAAACAGAAATGAATGCACTAGAGAGGACTTGGGAGTAGCTCCAATTAGTGACAAGATGAGGGGAAACAATGGAGATGACCTTTTCATTTGCATAGACAACCGATAACTTGAACAATGATGGGTGACTTGGTGCAACTAGAAGGCCCTAAAAGTGTAAATGGAAGACCAAAGAAAACATGGTAAGAAGTGGCAAAAAAATGATGTAGGGACTTAGATTGACAGAATGTAGCTCTTGATATTTATTAAAAAAATGTAGCTCTTGATAGAGCATATAGGCTGAACAGAATTTGCATAGCCAGTCCCAAATAATTGAGGTTAAGGCAGAGTTTGAATTGAGATGGTCCACAATGTAAAGCAGGAACTTGTGTAGTTGAAAAACTTTAAGTGGAAATAAAGCATTGAAAATCAGTTGTCTATGATGTGTAGTTAAAAAAGGCTTGAAAAAAAGCTTCCGAGTGAAAAAAAAAACAAAAATAAAGCATTGAAAATCAACAAATCTTATTTTTATCTTGACAATGAACTAGATAAGACAAGTGATTTAAGTGCATATCTGTCTGTTGTTTCTTATTTGTGCAAGGCAGTTAAACTATTTTTTGATCAGTAACAAGGCAGTTAAGCATTTCATTCTTAAGAAACAAAGAAAGAGATTATAAAACATTTCTGCCAACAAACTCAGATAAGAGCATAGGAATACAAACAGTAATTACCAACATCCCCTTGTTCGGCTGGTTCCTCAAAGGAATTTGATTGATCCAACTTTTGTCGTTTTGCTGAACCATCACTGAAACCATTTCCTGAATCTCCTTCCTCTTCATCCTCATCTGCACCCAACTTAACAGGGGCCACCGCAAGCTTTGACTTCTGTTTCAAGCTAAATGCAAGTTTCCCACCAGAAGCAGAAGGGGTGACTTTGCGTGATTCATTTGATTTAGAATCCAAAACTGTTTTAGTGATGGCAGGATTGGGCTTCAAAGCCCCAGACACATTTTTTGTTGATTTACATTGCTCCAATGCAGCTTCCTTCTCTTTCTCTTGTTGGAGCTGCTTAAACCTTTCCATAAATGATCCATCATTAACAAATAAGCTAGGAGGCACACTTTTATCCATGCAGGAAAAACCAAGTCTGTTTAATCCAGTTTATGGATATCCACTGTTTTCGAAGAAGCAAATTCTCCAAGTGATCTAAGCCTCAAAATGCAACTTCATATGCTGACCTTTGAGATTGAGAACGCACTGCATTCCTCAAGCTTCAAATCAGAAAAAAAGACTAACTCCCAGGCATCAGAATAATGATATTTACAATACCCGAATAAAAAACGAAAAAAAAAAGTTACCGCGTCTTATATTACCAATTATCTAATATGACTAAAACCAGGAAGAGGTAGATTATGCAAGTTTTCCTAACTAAAAGCCGCAACGCATCAACCATGTGTTCTTCCCGTACTGTGTGCGAAATAGAGATTATGGAATGAACCGACTAAGGAAATCAAATTCCCTCATTTAAGGAAAATAAAAAATATAATCCCGCTTCAAATATAATAACTCAGATACTCGCACAAAGACAAGGGTAAAATAGGTTACAATTGGTTGAACAAAATTTAACGGAACAACAATGTCAAAAACCAACCGACGACAACAAAATCGTAATCCATCCATGAAACCCACAAGGAATCATAAATCTTAGAGATGATAAATTGATAAATATAAACACAGACATGATTAAGGAACGAATCCAGAACCAAAACTGGTTCCTTAAAACTCAAATTCAAGCGCGGATCCTGCCATGAACCCTAACTCTTGGAAGAAAGCAATCATGCAATAAAATGACCACAGATTTCTCCATACCTCTTGATTGTTGAATTAAAACAACTGATTCTCAGATCCCTTGGCAATGCCCTAATAGAAGATGGTCACAGTCTGCACCGTCTATCCGCCAGATAACCAACGAAGGTATAGAAGTAGATATAACCGCGAGTTTCTCTTACCGGACATATATAGGCGGATTCCTCGTATTCAATGGATCGATCTACGTCGTTCACAGGTGGGCCGTTATCACGCTAAGCTCCAGCCGGCCCAGCCTACGGCCAAAACGGGCTAAGAGACTTGGCCCGACCCATTGTTCATATCAGTTCCGAATTGGGCTTAGCTCGTTAAAGACCAGAACTGGCCCATTGAAGGGGTGTTTTTTTTATAAGCCCATTAAAGGGGTGTTCGAGTTCGACTCTGCTGTTAGAGCAAAGATAATAACAATATTTTACAGGGGAGTGATTACAGGTTTCATAATAAAGGGAAATTGAAACTGTTGTGAATAGTCCATATTTTATTTTTTAAATTAAAAAACCACAAAATTCTAAGAGAATAAGGAAACAATAGAGAGTAGGGTGACGTGGACAATGCATACTAGAATATATAAAATACTGTTCAATTTTGAATATCAACAAATCAAAGTTGGGTCTACCTATCATCCCTTTGCAGCCCTACCTCAATAATAAAGTCTTCTTCATGTTTTCCATCAATACCCCATACACATATGAGATACAAAATGTGGTGTGGCTATATCAAATGAAATCAACCATGGCGTTGTTGTATCAAATTAAACCAACCATTTTTATACCTTTGCCATGGAAGCATAACATAATAGTGGGGAGTAAAATTGATGGGAAAAAGAATAAAATAAAATTTATTAATTTTAAATAATAATTATTTGTTATCATAATTAGTAATTATTATAAGAATAATATTATATTGTTTTGTATATTATTTTGGTCAATTAATCATTCAATTTATATTGGACCATCCATTCTATTTACCTTACCAAACATTAAAATGCCTTTTTATTGGAATTTATGCCAAGAAAGTATATTAGAGTGAGGGGTATGACTCTAAATATCTTGTTTGTTGTGGTCAGTATACAAGATTGTTTGTGCTTTTTGACTCTAACAATTGAATTCAGAAGACTGCTTTCCAAGTTTCCATTTCAATCTCAACCAACTTTTGCCTCTCATAGTTTCTTACTTAATCTTTATTTGTTAAAACTATGACAAGAATCCTATCATGCCATTATGCTCACTGAGAGCATTATATATGGATGTTCTCTTGCACTTCAAGAGTATCTGTATAAAATGATAATACCAATATTTATTAGGAGGGGGAATGCTAAGGAAACTCAAGCATCACTAAGGCCTTGTTCGCTTGTCGGTAGTTATTTACCCAGGTAACCCAACTACCCAAGTAAGTGCATTACCCACGTTCTTTTATTTCCTAAGTAAATAAAACAATGACCGTTTTGGTCATAAAAATCAATTATAAAAAGGGGCATTTTTGTCCTATCAAAGTGTTGACAATTTTCCCATAGGTGGAAAAGTTATTTACCCACCTAGGAGATGGGTATCACTTAGGAAAATAAACTTTCCTTGGTACCCACATAAATCTGAAAAAAGACCATAGGTTTCTTGGTCAATGGGATTGTGCCATCCCCCCCTCAAAATCCAAAAAACAAACATCCCCTAATGGGGGTTTTCTAAAAGGTAAATGTTCTAGTTTTCATTTGTTTTTTTTTTTAAAAAAAAAAAAGCATGTTCTTAAAACTGTGTTTTCATTTTGAGAAGCACAAACAAGTGATGGTTTTTAATACAAAAACAAATTTTAGAGTTCAGATATTATATCATTTACATAGATATAGTGTATGATTTATGAAATCATTAGATGGAAACATGTTTTTAAAACAAGAAATTAAATTGAAAAACACTTTTGTTTCAGTTTTGGAAATGCATATACAATCAAGAGCATGTTTTTCCTTGTCTTTGTTCTAAGAATCAATTTGTTTCCATTTATTTTTGGAACTCACAACAATAAAGCAATAGCCTAGATCTGCTGCCAGCAAAAGCGTGTTAACAAGCTTTTAACATGGCAATCTTGTTGCATGTCAGGAACTTGTAAGATAGTTGTCATGTTTATAAAAATGAAAAAAAAAAAGGAAAATAAATCTAGAACAATGGTGTATATTAGAGTTGCCACTTGTCAGCTTCGTCCAGCTCCCCATACATAATGCAAAATGTAGCGTTTAAATCCGATTATATGGCACATAGTCGAAAAACCGTCCTGGTGAACTTGAAACTGTAAGTCCGATGCCTATTTTGCTGATACAGAAGTTGTTTTTGTTTTAGAAAATAAAATCATTCACATTTACAAATGCACATCTTTAACTTTTTAAATCATATTAGGGCTCGTATTCAAAAGCTGAAACATCCCTCTTGGTAAAAAGCTGATGCTTTATTTGGATTGTAAAAGCAGAAAAGGATATGAGTTCCACTCCCACTTCTATCCTGCATGCTTGAGATGCTTAGCCTCCCAATGTCATTTAGAATTTTGTTAGAGAAACCCCGTTTCATCATATCTATGAGACTGCAAAATGGAACCAAACATGGCCTAAGATCTTTGGAAGCTCAGTTGGGGTTTATGGCAGCAATATAAATGGCATTTAATTTCTGAAAAGGAAAAAAGGAAAAAAAAAAACATTGTAAGTATATGATTAGGGGGAGAATTTGCCAGTGGGGTCATATAACAAAGAAGCCTAAATGACCTAGGATTTTTTGCTTGTCTGAAAGATAGCTTGAGGCCCAAAAGGATCGACATATTCTTCTCATTTTGATGTATTCATGGGAATAGGGATCCAATAACCGTAATATCATGGAAATGGAATACATCGCGTACTAATCGGATCACCATATGTTTATGGAAAAACTTTAGCTGTTGGGGGCCAACAGCCTATGCTGTTGAGAGAATTTTTAAAATGCCATGTTACTATGAGAATGGATAAATTAGTAATTACATCTTAGGGCCCAATAGCATATGCTGTTGAAACAGTTTCTGGGCAGTTCACCTATTCATGACCATGCTTCCAACAGCCTATGCTGTAGGCTGTTGAATGGATTTCTGGAAATGCCACGTTACCATGAGAATGGGTAAATTAATAATTACATATTAATTTATTTTTACTAAAACCCAAAGCATGGGCATGAAAGGTGAACTGCCCAGAACATGCCCAGCCCAGAAACTGTCTCAATGGTGTATGCTGTTGGGCCCCCTTGTCACATGGCTAAATCAATCCCTTTCAAACCGCAGTAGTGACCAAATAAGGTCCATCTCAATTTTCTGAAACCTATAGGATCAGTAAGATTATTATCTACTGCAATACTTGATTTGTTCTTTGTGGTTTTATTCTATGATCTTGATAATTCTGCTTCTTTTTCTTTTTCTTTGTCATTAGGATTTCAGGTAGATGATCCAAAACTACGCAGGATGTATCCAATTTGATTCATTCTCTTGGCTTTTCCCCTTTTTTCCATTTTTGCCAATCTCATTTGTTCATCTATTTGTATATTAATTTGCAAATTCAAACAAAAAGTGGCAGTAAATTTGGACTTGCATGAAACACCATCCTAACCTGGTGCTTCCAGTTGCAAACTGTAGCTATAGCCTTTAATGGCTTGGAAGATGGTTGCTTTGGGGTAATAGGACACTGAAATTATTGTCAAAACTATACATTTGCCAGTGGTGCTGAAGTGCTTCCAATTGTTGCAAGATTTCTCGTACAGATTAAGGGATTGGCTCGCATTCTGTAAGTTGATCTTTGGTTCATGGTTGAATCACAAGGTGGAGTTCTATTGCTCAATTTGGAAAGAGTAGAAATACAAATATGTACAATTTAAATACATAAAAATAATATAAAATGCAAGATTTTGCACTCATATATTTGTATTTATACTCCTTCATTACTCTTTCTAGCTTCTCCTTCAAGCCATCTTCTGACACAATCAACTCATCTCCACTGGAAAAGTGGAAAGTGGAAACTAGTTTATGTAAATAAGAACAACAAAGCAACCCCATTAAGCAAATGATTATAATTTCTTCGAAGTTGAGTAGAAACAAGATCCTGTTGCCGTTTCAGAAATTTGGCTTTCTCATACATAAATTAAATGCTTGGGCTTATTATGTTGTTGAACATAATATTAAATTTATTATATATTATAATGGTAAAAGAGAGCTTAGGACATTGAAAGGTCTCAAACCAAGGGTAACAAGTCAAAGAATGTTGTTGAAGAATGGCTGGATATATTGCCGGGCATGAACTCAAAAAAGCATTAGAACACATAAGCTCCTGCTAATTATGTTCTGCAAATCACCTTCCAAAGCCTTTCTTCATATTTCAGACTCAGCAAGATGGTTAGAAAACCATGTGACTAGGTCCTAAAGCCAGGAATGACAGGACGTTCACCAATATAAACCTTACGATTTCTGGGAGCCTTCTGTTTCTGCTACAGAGGTGTAAATAACTGGATTAGTTGGGTCGTCCCTCACCGTCAAGCTAAGCACATCAGGCCTCGCATAGTGTCCAACCACATCAAAATCAAACTTTGCTCGTGTTATTTCTCCAAGATCTACATAGCATTTAAAAACCAAACATGAAACAGCATTCATCATAACCAACAAGAGCGGAAGAGCACGACATTTGAAGAAAAACACTAGATGCAGAGCAAGTGGAAGGGAGATGTCCTCTTCACTGCCACCCACCACCCAATAGAAAGCAGCCAAGATGCATAATTTCATGGGCTGAAATAAGATTTTCTCGATGCAAGATCATCTTCATCATGTTATTATATGCACTAAACAGAGACCTTATGGACCATTTCCCTAATCACATTCCAAATGCAAAGGTTTGGATTATCCAGCAAATAAGGATGAGGCACTGGGAGATAATTAAAAAAACTGGATGTAGAAGAGTCATTAAAACAATGAATTCTGCCCTCTATTTTGCACAATGTAATGGATTTCCCATTTCTACTATCCTACTCTTAACCTAAACATTTCCTTATAGTAGAGGTAGAGTTTCAATTATAAGACAATGCTAACAAAATGGACAGTGGTAAAATCTGTAATAAAATAACCTTTATCTGTCAAGAAAAAAAATTACCCCGACAAAGTGGTAACATCTGTAATTTAATTTTTATTTGACTAATTGATATTTGTTAGCCTATGGCTATTGAGATTAGGACTGCAACTCGGGCCGGGTTAGCTCAAACCCAATGCAAAAAAGTTGGTTCATGTTGAAGTTTGGGTTAGGGTTAAGAGTTGAAAAGTATGAACCCGAATTAACTTCAGGTTGGGTTGGGATTAAGGCCTTGGCTAACCCAACCCAACTTAGCTTCATATTTGTATGTATTTATGTATGTAAATGCCCTTTTTCTAAGTAATAATAAGCATTTTATGCATGTAAGTACTTGTGTATCTATTTATCTATCTATATGTATGTATCTCAACAATTTTAAGTTTAAAAGCAAAATTTTTCAAAAGCATGATAACATGTTGAAGTGACTCTCTTAGAGCTGAGATCTATGCAGTGTTGGAAGGTGTCCAGAAAGCTAGGGAGATGAATATCAGAAAACTCATAATTGAAGGGGACCCGGAGATGGTGGTAGGGTGGCTGAATAAAGACAACAGTGGCTTATGGAGTTACAGCAATGTGAGGAGGAGATTTAAGTGGCTGGTGCGAGAGATGGAAGTTAAGATTAATTGGGTGAAAATATCAGCTAATTCTTTTGCTGATGGATTAGCTAAACAAGGGGTGGAGAGGGAATCAATGTTTTGGGCTCAGATGTAATTTTATTGTTTCTCTTTTTTCTTTTCTTTTCTTGGGAGCTCAAATTGAAATTGGAAGATAAGAAAGTTTGTCTTCCTCTTTGTAATTATTCATTTATTGAATTAATGAATTTGTTATTGATAAAAAAAAATGTTCTTTTACATATAACAGCGTTAAAACTGTATTGACCTCAAACCTTGAGTCTAGGAAATAAGAACGTTTGGCATAAGGAAGTTGAGAAGTTAGCCCAACCCAAAGTTTTCAGGTCGGGTTAGGGGTTCGACAGCTCAGATTAGGTTAGGGTTAACCTCAACCCAACCTAACCCAGCCTGACTTGCACCCCTAGTTGAGATCCTAAGTTACCTACCTCCCTAACTCAGCTGGGTTTTGGAAAAGGAGTGCCAACTAGATATGTAAACTTAACTAAGAACATGTCTGATGGGACCAAAACCAATGTTAGAACACCTATGGAAGAGACATCAGAGCTTTCAGTTACAATGGGACTTCACAAAAGCTCAGTACTTGACCCTTATTTATTTGCACTAATCATGGATAAATTGGCCAAGTTTATTTTGAAGGAAGTCACACAGTGCATGCTGTTTGCTAATGACATTTTTTAAGAGTAAAAGAAAAGATTTCATTAAACAAAAAGAATATTACAATCTGAGAGGTGTCAAGATGACAACTCAAGAAAGCAACTCAACAAAAGTATTAATCGATGAAACTAAAGAAGATGCTTTAAAATAAGTAGAACTACAATAAAATACATGCAACAAAAGTAGTAGTAGTAGTAGTAGTAGTAGTAGTAGTAGTAGTAGTAGTAGTAGTAGTAATAAAAGAAAAGATTTCATTAAACAAAAAGAATATTACAATCTGAGAGGTGTCAAGATGACAACTCAAGAAAGCAACTCAACAAAAGTATTAATCGATGAAACTAAAGAAGAGGCTTTAAAATAAGTAGGACTACAATAAAATACATGCAACAAAAGTAGTAGTAGTAGTAGTAGTAGTAGTAATAAGTAGTAGTAGTAGGAGAATACCTTGGTTTGATAATCCACAATAAGGGATAGATTGAGGAGGATGTTACCCATAGAATTAGAGCAGGATGGGCAAAATGGAGGTGTGTTTCCATAGCCTTGTGTGATAGAAGAATAGCATTTAGGCTACAGGGAAAATTTTATAAAACGGTTACAAGGTCAGCAATGTTGGATGGAACAGAATGTCAGACAGTCAAGAAATAACATGCCCAAAAAACAATTGGCAGAAAATGTTAAGATGGCTGAGTGAGAAAAAGTAGAAAAGATAGGATCTGAAATGAACTTATTCAAAGGAACCTCCTCTTAGGAGTAGCTCCAATGAGTGATAAAATGAGAGAAAGTAGACAAATGGATTAGGCACGTAAACAAAACCATCTACTGGTGTAGATTGTAGTAGTAAGAAATGATTTAAAGGCCCATCGCTTAACAATGAATATGGTATTATATATAGAAGAATCCCGGACCAGCTGGGATTGGGAGTGTTTACTTAATGCTGGACTTTAGCATCTTATGGGCCTTCAGCAAACCTGCCACTTGCACTGATCCCAAGGAATCCAAGGTGAGATCCTTTCTTGTGGGGAACCACATGGCAAAGCAACTATGGCTAAATTCATTAGCCATTGAGGGTTACTAAGATAAGATATTAGATGGAGATAAAGAGTGTGGCAGCAGCACATAGAGACTTGCACACTTTTTAAATGAGATGAGAGTAATAATGGTTGGACCCATTGGATTCCAAAGGACCTGAGCACCATAGCAGATGAGTTAAAGGAGGGTCTTTTTATATGGTAACAAATCTCTTCCCCAGAAACTCTTTATAAGGGTGGGCTGATTGTGCATACCTTATGTATCCTCTCATGTATAGCCTTCTTTTTGATAAAATATATATTTGTTGCCTTCTCAAATAAGGGCAAGATTCTAATACGGCAGAACTAGTCCAAACAGTACCTATACCACATAGGTTACTGTGAAGTTTTTTTCCCAAATAAACAGGGGATTCTAGTTTTTTTGACAAACAAAGATTATTTCTGTCACATAAATTGAAATTATTTCCACATATTACAGAAGGAAAACCATAAATATACCTAGATCAGCTGTGATGAGAGCCTCTCCATCATAATTTGGTCCTGCCAGAACCGTCCCTAGTGGTGAAATGATGACACTACCTCCAGCACACACAACAGAATCTGGAGAAGGATCTTCAAATATGTATTCTGGTGGAGATGGGTAATCCTTTCTTAAGCAGAACTGGTTTGCAGATAGAACAAAGCACCCTCCCTCAAGAGCAATGTGGGTCATGGATGCCTGCCACACATCTCTGGCATCAGCTGTAGGCGCACAATATATCTCAATGCCTAGAAAAAATTAGGGGCTCTGTAAGATTGATGGCAACAAAGACTCGCCAAAAATAAATAAATAAATAAGACTTAAAAGAACAGAAAAGATTATATTATATAATGGGAATAAAGAAAACAACTGTAGTTGCGGTATGCAGAAACACCTATATCAGAGTCATGCACATGATCAAGTCCATAAATTCCAACACATAGGAATTCAAGTCCTTTAAACTCCCAATGCACCTAATGGATATTATCTAACAATTTAGCTTAAGCTTACAAATTCTAGTTAATCATCCATGGATGGATATCAAAACTGGCATAGTTATTTAGGTAATGGCATCCAGATGTCCTGTTCCAACTAGAACTAGTTTTCATTACACTGCACACACAGAGAAGCTGTCAATGGATCCAATTCAGATACCACATTAGCCAAAATTAGAATTGATCAAACATTTTAATTTTCGTTTTTCATTTTTGGATATTTAGATTCATATTTCTTAATGCTAAAAAATGTAAGCATAGCAGATAATTCGAATCAATGCATGTTCAAATTTTAGACTAGGAGATCTCACAAAAGTAAGCTATTGAAAGATTATCCTAAGCTCCTTACTTTTGTGCATTAGGATTTGTAATGTCAAGCATGTCTGTCAAAATGGGGCACATCCTGAATAAAACATGTTTGTCATACACCTAAACTCCTCGATTAAAAATCTTTTTCACCCCAATGGTATAAAAGGCAAAATCTTTGATCTGGGGCCAAACTTTAAGGCACAACTATTTTCTACTTTTCCTTTACTTGGAGGACCAGGACCAACTGTTGAATGAGCTCCATCATTGGAGATTAGCTGGGCCAAAAAGTGTCTTATATATGTGCTGCATGCTTTCCAGCCCATGACACTTGATAATGGAAAGACGTGCAAAAACTCTTTGAAAGATTAAAGAGATAATTCATAAATTAGATTATTCTAATTTTTACAATGCTGACTTTTGGTAACAAATTTTTTTAATGTGGTATTGTTGTTAATTTTGTTAGAATTGATGTCAATGTGATCTTCCATTCAAGACCCTCAAGCACCATGTCATGGAGGCCTGGAAAGAGAGACCCATGACACTGCCTTGCTTGCAGGCCAGCAAGTACTAGTGGAAAAATAGGAAAGAGACCTAGAGTTTGGTTTTCTTGAGGAACAGGTGAAACTATAAAAGTTTGCAGCAGAAAGGGAGAATGAAGAAGATTCCAAAGTCCAAACTCCTATCCCATTGCCCAAGTCCTCATTTATATAAACCCCTGATTGTGCGCACGCATGTCTGTGATAAATTCTTTAACAGAGTATATCAAAGGAGACACATACACCATAATGGTCTTCAAGCCACTTTCCTTACTGAGTCATACAACTAAGCTAGCCAAAACCAGGTAAAGAAGTAGCTTTTAGTTTTAGCCCACATTACAATCGGTTCTACTTGTAGTAGGAATGACAGTGTGAAGAGAAGGGGGTAGTATCAGTTCCCAATGGTTTCATAGGTGATTTCAGATCATATCTCTGCAACTCCCGCCATCCATCAGCAGTATCAGTTCCCTTTGTCTCACCGAGCCCATTCATCTCTCATACTAAACCCCTTGGTTAATGTTAAGGGTTCATGCCATTTATTAGGGCATCCTGCCTAGGCAGATTATGATCTCATGGTTCCCTTTGCCTCACTGATCACATCCACCTCTATACTAAAACCCTTAATTAACAACATCTACCTTTCATGGCAAGGATCACCTGAAAAAAGGCCTTCTACTCCTTTCTCTCAGTTAACTAAGTGGGACCCTTGACTGAGAGTACATGATTAATACAACCCTTCAGCCCTTTAGCTTCTGTTTTTTTTTTTTTTGAAAAAGGTAAGGTAAGACTAAATAAAGAAAAGAAGAAAAATTATATACAAATCCTAGCACAACATGAGCGCCAAGGCCAGGAAATTGGACCTAAAACCAACAAAGCACCAAAGAGGCTTTGACCCACAAACAACAAGAACCCAAAGAAAGCCCTACAAAGCCCAACAGGCTCAGGATCGCAAAACAAACCCAAAAAACAGAACCAAAACTACAAGCCCAATGCAAAACCCTACACCTTAGCCCCCTCAAACAAAACAAAATCACTTAAAAACATACTAAAACACAAAATCCAAACCAGCTGCAAGAACCAATATGTAGGAAATTAACGTCAAGCACTGGCAGATTTACCTCTTCCTCCTCTTCCCCTACCACGAGTGCTACAACTTCCTCTTTTGCTACCTTTCACTACTACTACCCCTTGAGCTTCTCACTCCAGTTATCTCGAATTTCAAATGATTAGACCTAAGTAGACAAGAACAATCAATTCCCTTCCCCATGGGGACCATGGGAAGGCAGCCGCATGATCAGGAGAATCTCAATCTGCACCACAAGGGATGTCCTGTACCGAAAAGCCAGGCCACTAAGGACTTGCACCTGAACTAAAGTGCTTGAGGATGGAGACCTCCCCCCCCCCCCTCAAATTAAGGGTGAAGTCCACTTTCATGCAGGTAACAGTCCATTCTGGCAACTAGGATCAGGGCCCACATGGCATACCTTCAGATGTACCCCATCCTGCATTAATGAACTTAGTGACAGGTCTAACCATGCCATCATTTGTTACGGGCTTACTTTTAGGGCTGATATAACACTGACCATGTCAACCTCATGATGCCATACCAACCTTCTAATCATTGGGCTCAAAACCCTTACCAACAACAAGAAGTTGGAACCTATTCAATGATGAATCTTGATCCTCTGAATGTGCAACTCAGATTCAACTCTCAAGGTACTAACTATATAATAAGAACTTACCCAGCAAGTTGAGGAAAAGCAGATAAGTGAATCTGGCAACTAAAACCAGTTAATATAAAAATTACGTCTTACAAAAAAGGGGAAAAAGTTGAAATGTTTACCTTTACCATACAATGCTGTCCTTAATAGGGGCATTCTATTTTCCCAGCAAATGAGGGCACCTATTTTTCCAATTGGAGTCTCATACACAGGAATTGTTGATCCATCTCCAAACCCCCATATTATACGCTCCAAAGCTGTCGGCATGAGTTTTCGGTGTTTACCCATGTAATGGCCCTGTGAATCAAAAAAAAGGACTGTGCAGTAGAGTGTATATCCATCTCTCTCTATCACCCCCATCACTAGGAAAACCTTATACTTTCTGGCCATTGCTGCTAACCGCTCAACTTCAGGACCTGTACAAGAAGTGCAAATTTAAAACATGTGAATGCTAAATTCATTAAGACTATGTTTGGTTTGAAGGAAAAGGTATGGAGAGGAAGGGAAAAGTAGGGAAACCTATACAAACCTATACAAATCTTGTATAGGTTTCCCTACCTCTCCCTTCCTTTCCCTACTTTTTCCTTCAAACCAAACACAGCCTAATAGTTCACATTGACATGAATGTCACAAAATGTTTCATCTAATATTTATCCAAAACATAATCTCTATATTGTCAAAATGATCGAAACTGTTATTAAACCATCCATGGAAGGAGCAGAAATTTCACCAAGCACATAAGTTGCTGTCGTGTGATACTTCCAGAACTATTTGCAATCCTCAAAAGAGAAAGAAACTTTACCAGGTACACCAATTGCAGCTGCATGATACTTTCGGAATTCATCTCTACCCTTGGATGTTCCACCGTTGATAGTAACACCAAAACCAAAAGTGGAACCGCGCGGATAGCCACCAATAAACGCTTCTGGAAATACAATTAATTGCGACCCCATACCCGCAGCCTCTGCGATTAGCTTTTCTGCCTTGTCTGCTCGCACAAGAAGAATCAAAAGTGTATACGTTTCTTCATTATTGTTCTTTGGGTTTACCCATTTATGATTTTCTTATAGAAATCTATTGTCAATTGTAAATAAAATAACGTAATTGAAGTAACAAAGTGCAAAGCTCATAATCTAGAAAACCTCCACAAAAAAAAAAAGAAAAAGAAAAAAACTTTAATATGTGAAATAAGTAAAAAAAAGGAAAAACAACAAAAAGGAATTGTTTTGTACCTAAAGTGGCGGGAGTGTCATAGAAGATGGTCGATGCCTGAACGACGGTGGCTCGAACCGATGGAGCAGAGGAGTCCGAACCCATATCGACTTCAGCAATGACGGATCCACCATTGATCGGAGATGGAATTAAAGCCATTATTCCTATTATCCCTTGAATTGCTTCGGTGGTGGATAAATGAAGGATAGCGTATGTGGGGCTAACTGAAGAGCTGAGTGAAAGAAGCAAAAAGACAAACAGTTGGACTGAGCTAGTACCATTACCAGTCTACCACTACTACTTCCCGAATTTCTTCTTGAGACGCTCTTTGACGAAGTCGTTACGAGCCTTGATTCGAGCTTGTTGAGGAGCGATGTTTCGGTAGGAGAGATGTACGCCGATAGCGAAGAGGGAAGCACCGACCGCGAAGCAGCCGATGGTCATTGCCAACTGCTTCGGCGTTGACGGGAAGCACCCCACCATTTGATGACGCGGTTTAACATATAAGCAAGCAATCACCGACTATTTCTTCGTTCTTTTCCCAATCTTATTTAATTTTCACATTAAAAAAGAAACAAAAACCAAAAAAAGGAGTCCGAGCTCGAAGGAGAAGAACTGGAATCTTCGTGTCTGGAAGTGGCGCCACCCACAGTGCCAGTGACTCTGGAGTCTGGACCGGAGGAAAGCTGTCGGTGACTTTGGATAAGAATAAGGGAATTCCTTATCGTTACCTGTACTTGGGATCGAGTGGACAATTTGGTTTCCTACTTTAAAATGCGACAATTTCATATCCGAATTTTTAAAATATTACAATTGAGTATTCGAATTTTCAAAATGTTACATCCAGCATCAGTTTCTTAATTAACGATTAAGTGATACTTAAAAAGTCAATAATATCTTAAGAATGCCATCTAATTCTTTTTATCAAACATCTAAACATTGATAATAAAATGAACAGTCCCAAATTCTAGATTTTTCTAAATAATCACCAACTTTTTTAAATATAAGAGGCTAGGATTTGAGATTGTTCAATTTTTTGTTAATGTTTGGATGGTTGATATAGAGAATTAGATGGCATTTGAAGGGTATTTTTGACTTTTCAAATGTCACTTAATGGCTGGTTAACGGTAGGTACTGAATTGTCACATTTTGAAAGTTCGGGTACTGGATTATCGCATTTTAAAGTTCAGGGACCAAATTGTCACTCGAGCCAAAGTACAGGATAATGATCGGGAATTTTTCCTAATAATGAGTAAGAATACTCATCAATTAAAGAAAAGGGCACAATACGACTAGGGCTTGTTTGGGATGGATGAACTGAAGATTCAACAATTGATCAATGATCAGTGAATTTAGGGGAATTTGGGAGTGATAATTTGAAAAATAAATGTTTATTGAATAAGGGATTATGAGTGTTTGATGAATAAACACTTGTTTCAGACAAGAGTAGTGTAGGTATTTTCCAAGGTTTTTAAAATCGAACCGGACAACGAATGGGTCAGGGGTCTGGTTCCTGGGTCGAATGGTCCAATCGTTTCGAACCAAATGGACAACTTGTTTTGACAATAAATAAAAAATTTAAAAACGGCTAAACCATAGGATAGTTTGAGCGGTTTGATCACCCGGGTCAATGGTTTGCTGACCGAATCAACAATTTTAGAAAAATAACAGTTCTATGGTAAAACGGAACTGGTTACCTGACTGGTTCCCAATTTTTTTGGTCTGACCATGCGGTCCGGTCCGATTTTGAAAATCATGGTATTTTCAAGATGATGTGGTGGTTATGAGAGGCAAAAAAAAGCACTTAAATCCAAGAATATTCACTTATTGGGATTTATTTCCCAAGCACTTATAATCCCAACCTAAAATAAGTATTTATTTAAATAAGCGCTTGCTTTCAAGCATTTTCAAACTTAATTTAAAGAGCTTTTAAAAAATAATTCAGTCGACATAACTCAATCAATGCAAAAACCCTCCCAAACAAGCCATCATTCAAAAAGACTTAAAGGGCAGAGTTCGGATTTTCTCCTCAAAGAACATGCCTCACACCAACCTCACACAGCACATTTCAATCGTGCATCTGGAACATCTCCATAATTGTTCCCAATAATGCATTGCTGAAACATGTTGTGAGGTCGGTGTGAGGCATGCTCTGTGAGGAGCATATCCGAACTCATGGGCATAGAGATTGGCTTCATTCAGTGCAAGTCTCGTTCAAACCGTTAGAATAGCCTTTACAACCTTGCATTGGGAACATTTCCACACTCCTATGCTTTATTTCATGGGGAGATAATCCCAATGCAAGGCTATAATAGGTGTTCGAACTGGCTTTGCACTGATTGAATCTGGTTTCAAGGGCACAACCCTTGAAATTAATGTCCATATATGGCCCATCTATTAGGGTTGTTCATAACAAGACCCAAACCGACCAACCTGGTCCGATCCAACCTGAGTTGGCCGGTTTTTCTTCAGCACCGATCGGTTTCGGGTTACAAGAAAACATAAACCGATGGTTCAGTTCGGTTCGATTTCGGTTTTCATGTGTGAAAACCAAAACCGAACAGACTTAGATATATATATTATATATATAATATATTTCAGATATTATATATATATATATATATATATATATTTCAGCTTTATTTCAGAAATATACATATTATATATAAAATATCAGTTTTAATCCATCAAATCATTTTTAATTTCTAGGCATCCAGCCTTTGCTTTCTTAGACTTGAATCCTTTACCGTTCACACCGAGAGAATCATTCACAAAACCAACCAGGTCGGTTTTACTTAGTATTGGGTCAATTTTGGTTTCATTTCTAGGTAAATCGACCAAGTCGGGTTGGTTGGAAAACGCCAATAAACCGACCCAACCTGACCCATGAACAGCCCTACCATCTATGAAAGTTTGAGGCCACTGCCTCCGACCCTCTGAACAGGCACCAAATAATAGCTAATAAAGAGATTGCTAATTGCAAATAAATAGTATGTAAATCTCACATGATGTTTCATAAATAGTTACTTTTTTTAAATGCCTAAATATTACTTTAGCTTTCACGATATCAAAAGAAAAAACCTTTTATTTCTAATAAGGTGTGGATTCTTTCTTGGGAAATTCACAAGTGTTTCCTTTCACTTCTTTGTCTAAAAACACAAAAGAATTGAGATGCAAGCTGATTAAGCATTTAAAGTGACTAGTAAATGTGGACGTGCATTAATAGCATGTTGAAATTTTAAATTACAATGACAATTATTATCATGGCCGTTATTACTATTATTGTTATTATTTAATTTTGTATTCCATTTTCATCATAAATAAAAGTAATTTTTATTTTAACAATTTTTATTTAATATGATGAATATATAACATTAGAAATGTCTCCAAATGTTTTTGACAAAATTATATACTTTTTATTTTTTGTGTTCTATCTTTTTTTAAATACCTAGTATTCAATAATGACATCACCATAAGTTTATTTGAAAAGTTTGACCATTCACCCACCATCTAAATAGGAAAATAGACTTGTTTTCATATCAAATTTAAATTATATATATCATCTACATTATATAAATCATGTTTGTTTATCATACTTACTTTTTATTTGATATAATTAATATATATTATTATATGTGTGTCCAATTTTTTTTATAATTTTTATATTTTTTATTCTTTGTACTTTTTTATTTTTTTTTTAATTTATTATTTTACTATAACATCATTGTTTAATCCATTTGACCCAAACCACTAAACCACCACCCAAACCATTTATTATTGCATTTCTATCATTGATAAGGTTATGTATAATACTTATTTTTGTTCAATATAGTGAATGTATAGTATTATAGATGGACCCAATATTTTATTTTATTTATAAATATATAGCATCATATATGTGCCCAAATTGTTCTTTTTTTGTGATTTTTTGTTTATATTTTAAAAATTGTATTATTTGACTATGACACCATTTAATTTAATTTCAAGGTTTATTTTAGATTTGTAATTCCATTTTCATCGTTAATAAAAATATTTGTATATTTCATACTTAATTTTATTTAGTATAATCAATATACAATATTAGAGATATGCTCAATTCTTTTTTTATATTTTTATATATTATTTATTTTGATTTTTATTATTTGATTATGGAATTATCGGTTCACCTATTTGACCCAAATGGTTGAATTGCTTACCCACCATTGGGAGGGAAGAAAATGGTTTTATTTCAAAATATTTATTTTTATATTGTTAAAATCAATGTTGTGGATTTAATTAATAGAATTTAATGATGAGAAAAATATGTCTTAAATATAGAATTTAATGAGAGAATATACCTTAGATATGAGACTTAATGAGAGAGAATAGGAAACAATTTTATTTCCAATTGGTTTTAAACTTTATATTCCATTTTCATCATTAACAAAAGTATTTCCAATTGGTTTTAAATTTTGACCCAAAGTTGTTTAATTTCTTACCACCACATAAAAATACTACTTTTCCAAGTCAATTTTAGAAGTAAAAGTTTTTATGTTATTAGAATTATTTATGAATGGATTTAATTAGTGGAATTTAGTAATTAAAAGAAACAAAAATGCCTTAAATGTATGGTTAAATGAGGGTGAATGAGAGTTAATACCTTAAATGGAATTTAATGAGAGGGAATTGAATGCAATGAATAATAGTATTCAAATTACATTTTTTACGCTCATAATAGATAGGGACCCTATTTCAAAATAGGGGTATTTTAGTCCAAAAAAATTCAGAAATCTTAGACCCTTTTTGAACTTTTTATAGTAGTATAGATATAGATTTGACTTGTTTTTATAATATATTTAATTGTTTATAATGACAACTATATGATATCTCAAAAAAGAAAGCTTTTCAAATTTCAATGTGTCACATCACCTTACTGATTCAAGATCACCAAGCCGATTCGAGAAACTACAATTTAACAATTCAAGAAACCCCCCCTTTCCCCTATCCTGAAGCTAATCATTGTAAAAACATTTCTTTGGACAACGAGTTTGGATTCCCTATACTCGGATTGATGTATGTGGATGTGCATTTCTATTTATTTGATGACACTTGATGGTGCACGATCTGGTCACTCCTAGCTAGATGGTAGTTTAGACGCCGGTTTACTTAGGTGGTCGGTCAAACTGCAAGAGAATGTGGTCAGAGAACCCATGGTGGCTTATCCGGTGTGGGCACTTCGATGCTTAAAGTGGTGTTCGGAACTGTTTATATCCACGAGTTTTGGTCCCATTCGGTTGGGTGTGGATGGGACCGGTCCACACCATCCCGTCCACACCCCAAAATACCATAAACAGTAAAATATCATGGTTTGGTCCCTTCCACGATAGACTTTTGATCCTATGCTTCACAAATATTTTTGAAACCCTCGTTTGTTTCACATTACCGTTGAGCTTGCCGCCCGCCCACCCTGCCCGCTGAAGCTTCTCCGCCGCTGCAACTCTCCATTGGTAAGTATCTCTC